ACCTATTAAATTTGAACATGTGGCGGTAGTCGGTTAGACACGTCAATGCTCCCCAGACAACAGTTGACACAGGTAGCTACCTTGCCTCTGTGCTTAACCAACCCAGAAACCGCTGACCCCACAAGCGTCTCCGCCACCCACGGGTTTTGCCGTACTGTCAGTGTGTGCCCAGACAGTGTAATGGCCTTGCGGTGAGGCAGAGCGGTCACTTCTTTCCTCCTCGCTTCCACTTGCCTGGCTTGTGTCCGCAGTCTGCTGGTTCAGCGGAAGACAGCTTCGTGATGATGGTAATTGTAACGGACAAGATTGCACTGAGAGGTCACTGGAGTGTATGTTACTTTGTTTAACTTTTTTTGGTAGAAAACATACTCAAGGTCTTTAAAGTTACCAGATAAATAAAATGATTACGCATATTTCCAAACCACTAAGGTTCATGCCCAAAGCGCTATATATATCTCCCCGGTCTCTGGATCAGTGTGCACTCAAGAATCATTCTCAGCTCCCTGGGGAGTATACAACCCAAATTTGTCTGTTAGGACCTAGAAGGTTAACAACCTCATTGCCATCTCATCCTACCGGGTACCCATTCACTGCTGGGTGAACAGAGGCACATTCCGAACAAAGTCACTTGCCCAAGGAGACGCCACGTGTGTTACATGTGCTTCAGTGTGGGGCAGGACCGAAGCCCTAGAAACTATCAGGCGCCAAGCTGTCGAAACGCGACTTCCATCCAAGGACTCTCCGCGACCGACGTTGCTATACTTCACCTGATTTGTGACCTATGCTCTTCTTTTCACTCTACTCACTATGATTCAACTCCCCATCCCATCCTCCTAACCTTCACCCCTCCTAACCACCTCTCCAAGCATCCTATCCCTCACTCACTCCCTCCTCCTACCCACCTCCCTCCTTCTTACCCTCAACCTTCACCCATCTTTTCTCCTCCTAACCCTCCCTGCATCCTAACATTCCACTCAACCCTCACCCATCTTTTCTCCTCCTAACCCTCCCTGCATCCTAACATTCCACTCAACCCTCACCCATCTGTTCTCCTCCTAACCCTCCCTGCATCCTAACATTCCACTCAACCCTCACCCATCTGTTCTCCTCCTAACCCTCCCTGCATCCTAACATTCCACTCAACCCTCACCCATCTTTTCTCCTCCTAACCCTCCCTGCATCCTAACATTCCACTCAACCCTCACCCATCTTTTCTCCTCCTAACCCTCCCTGCATCCTAACATTCCACTCAACCCTCACCCATCTTTTCTCCTCCTAACCCTCCCTGCATCCTAACATTCCACTCAACCCTCACCCATCTGTTCTCCTCCTAACCCTCCCTGCATCCTAACATTCCTCTCAACCCTGACCTTCTTAACCATCACTCCCTCCTCCTTACTACCACCCCTGTTAACCCTCACTCCCTCCTCAAGTACCAATCCCGTTAACCCTCACTCCTTCCTTATCCTAGCCATCACCCCTCCTAATCCAATGTCCAACCCCCCCTCTCCCACTCTCCTCCTAACTATTACTCTCCGTCCAAAGTTCCCATCCTTACCCTTCCTCCCTTTCCTAATCCACTCACTTCTAACCCTTTCTCCCTCTTTTTAACCCTCACCCCGCCTCAACCAGCATTCCCTCTTTGTTATCATTGTATAGCTCCAGGTAGATAATTGATTTCCAACCTTTCTGTCCACACGACGATACTCTTTATCGACCAAAACATTTTCCTATCTGGTGCAAATAGCAATTTAGGTGTTATGGTCGAAGTCCAATTTCCGATATCAATAAAAAATCATATTCTCAGCATCAAACATGATTCTCGCTTTAGTTCCGGTACTGTAATTATAGTGTCCGACATCAATACCCTAGCGCTATCTCCGGCACATGGCGCTTGTCCGCTGACCTCCAACCGCCTCGTACCCACGGACCCAGGGAGGAGGGTTGTAGTAGGGGGTATCGATCCATCACGCGTAATTGAACAAGCATCCTTTCAAAACGCAGCGATTGTTCTGTCATTCACACAGCAACGCCGTCCTTAATTGCGAGATCAAAGGAACTTGTTATGAATACCAGAAAAATTATCTTACTGGAAAGACTCGATATATCAATTATTACAAATTATCACCTTCACTAAAAAGCCAGAAACTATATCCGATGTTATATAGGGTAGTAAACGTAAGTCTTATTTTCGAACGTCGGGAAATGTGGCAATGTTAACGGACAAGTCCATTCTCATTTTGCAATGAAGATTCATGTGAAATTCAATATGCAATCGATGCCTGTCTTCACGCAACTTGTTTCAAGTATAATTGTACCATGACACCGAAGAATGCATAATTATGATTGGTCAAAATAACATAAAATCAGGTATCTAATTCCTTTAGATGCATCAACACCTTTTCACATCAGCCTAAGTAAGTAAATATACAGTGTCAATGCCAGACAGTAACCAGTCTCGATTACCTGAGGAAACAGATACCAGTGGGCGTACACTGACACTTACACATACACCAACCACTGTGTCACAAAAAGGGAACAGTGTGTCGTGCGCGCAGGTCCTCATCAGGTAAAAACAGGCAATATTCCGACATACTTCAGGATGGCTCCGTTGGCAATGGCTCATTTCCACCAGTGAATGTTGAACGCACCTACAGATTGGAAGTGTCCTCTGGCTTAGCACAATTTATAAATTGCCACCGTGAACTAACGTGGCAGCCATGGACCGTGACGAGTAACGTAAGTAAGTCAAGTTCAGACAGGTAGGTCATTTCTGAATTTATATACCGTATTCGACGTAATAAGCGCCCCGCTCTAATAAGCGCCCACGGCGATATTTGCTGATATATTGGCCGTTGAACAATCCCAGTTAGCACCCCTTCCGATTGATCAATGTACACAAGACTTATTTATTCGCGTATAATATGCACTCATGTGATATGCACCCTTCATTATGGGAAATTAAATTCTGGAAAAATATATCTGTCGTACATAAATATTTTAGGCTGTCAGCATAAACCACGAAAGTTTTCTTTCAGCTCAGTTCTTTTCACTAAAATAATAATCCAATAAGAGCCCCCGATTTCTAATTTTGAGAGCGCCCTGGGCGCTTATTACGTCGAATAAGGTACATGTATTACTGTTTGAAAGTTTTTTCTGATAAACTGGTGCATGATTCAACTTCAACATACTAAAAAAAGTTGTTCAGAAATAAATAAGTTGTGGCTATTTCTGGAATTGGGGGCGGTCGGGTAGCCTAGTAGTTAAAGCGTTAGCTCGTCACGCCGAAGACCCGGGTTCGATTCCCGACAAGGGTACAATGTGTGAAGCCCATTTGTGGTGTCTCCCACCGTGATATTGCTACAATATTATTAAGAGCGGCGTAAAACCATACTTACTCACTCACTCACTCAATCGGAATTGTCACGATCATGTTCATTTAATGTACTGACTAGGTTGAGTTCAGTCAGTTAAGGTAACATTAGATATACGTCATATTAAGGTTATTTTACCACTTCCTTTTTAAAGAACTATGCATTTTGAAGTCACAATTTCGAACCAGTCAAGTAATGACCCTTGCACATAAGTAGCATGTGTTACGTTTTTCAATACCTCTTTCTGAACGTTCTTAGATGGCTGACCTATTTACCTATGTGTTATTACGCGTTCAAAAAAGAAAACCGTTTTTAAAGCGTTCTTGGCGTCATGGTAGAATGGAGATAAACTTACTGTGTTTTTGAAAATTGATGTCAAAATGTAAATCAGATAGATACCTCTTTTTTATACATTTGAAACCTCGAGGTAAAATTCAATTTTTAACATCGGTATATTGTACCATGAAGGAATCTAATATAGCGGCTGCCATAGGTCGAGAAAAAATATCGATATTCGTTTTCGAATACGATTTCATCGCATGGAACTGCATAAGCGCTATAACATCTAAATATGGGTGGAAGGCATACAATGACGCATGTTGCATTGGGTGAAACCAACGAGGACGGCTATGGTGCTGACAAACCAGGACGGCCTGGGTTCGAAGTCGTGATTAGTGCTGTCATAACTGTGGGATGCTACTCTGCACGGCGAATTGCGGCGCCTAATATTGCTGGACCAACTGGTCAACCTGACAACTAACTATTACACAACCGTTCACACATTCCCATATTCTCCACGTCGGGGGGAGAGGATCCAGAAAACAGCTGTTGACAGAGGACGTCATAACGCTGCACCTTTTAGAGGGGCGGTGGGGTAGCCTAGTGGTTAAAGTGTTCGCTCGTCACGCCAATGACCCGGGTTCGATTCCCGACATGGGTACAATGTGTGAAGCCAATTTCTGGCGTCCCCGGGGTGATATTGCTGGAATATTGCTAAAAGGGCGTAAAACCATACTCACTCACTCCTCCACTATGAGATGGCATGCTTGGGTATTACCTACACACCCTCCAAAGTTTGATGAACACAACTCTTTGTTTAAAAGGGGCACCTCTATCTAACAAAGCCCAATATTGCCTCAATGGATTGTTTCAATACTTCAACATTAATCATATAGAAAATACTAATAGGAACTCTATATTAAAATAAAATGATTAATGGATATGATTGTAATTAGTAAAATTAGTTTCTGAGCTAGTTGTAAAACCAATAGGAAAAAACAAAGCTTCATCTGTAATTGACATTATTACCAACAATCTTTCCACTTTCTGATAAGCATAGAAAAAGGTTAACGTTGTGTGCGGTGAAAACAAACTATAACAAAAGTAGCGTATACGTACATACACTGTTATAATCAAATACGACGTTAAGGTAATACACAAATATACATTCCTTATACACATAAACACGAACACACGCACGCACGCACGCACGCACGCATGCACGCACGCACGCACGCACGCACCTACGGGCATACCCGCGCGCGGCCACACACACACACGCAAGCCAGAACGCACACACACGGTCTCACCCGCGCGCGGCCACACACACACGCACACACGCACGCAAACATACGGGCTAACCCGCGCGCGGCCACACACGCACGCAAGCCAGCACGCACGCACATACACACTAAAAACGCAGACTAAGAAACAAGAAAAATCATCTTAACAAAACTGAACCTTTACTCACTTCATAATTGAACTTACCAAAACTATCGTACGTGCATACCCCTTAAACTTGGATCGTGGAAAGTCCTCGGTTATACAATAATATCTTCCAGTAATAATCGTCGTACCCATACTTATCCTCAAACACCAACAGTTCACAACCCGGAAGTCCTAGACATTTAGTCTTCCTCCGAAAGTGACGATTATAGCTGTAATACATTTCCTGTGGTCGCAGGCCGATGTAGGTGACGTTGTCCAGCCGTGACGGGAGTTGCCCGGACAGGTAGACATCATCCACCCACAACATCGGAGAGATGAAGAGTGACTTGTACAGAAGAGGGATTAGATCTCCGGTCAGGACGACCACAAAGCCACTGCAGTACTTCCAGGGGTAAACCTTGTACCCCTTCAAAATGTCCCAGCTTACAGCGAATCTCCTCGTTCTTATGATCCCCATAGTATTCCTGGACCACACATTGCAAATTATGTGACGTCTTTTGTTCTGGTATTTTGGCAAATATCTTTCCAGGAATCTGAATGTGTCCATTACAGTGTCGTCATCAATCTTGATAACAAATTTAACATTAAGACAGAAGCCAACCATCCACTGTAAACCAAGAGAAAATTTATAGGTCAGGTTGTGATAGGTATCCATAAAATCTCCTTGAATTATATCTCCATGTACAGCGTTTTCCTTCTCAATTATTTCATTTGATTGGTTATAAGTATTTAAACCTAACAAAAACACCGACTTAACTGTGTGCTGTGGGAAATAGGTCTGATTTAAAAATGTCTGTCGCATTACTTGTCTCTGTCGGGTCTGGTTCCAGGCAGAATGTACCACGAACAAAACCGTCACCTCCTTACTGGAATGACACACATCCGGGTTATTTAAGACATACTTCATATGTCCAAATGAGGGGTACACAGACCTGTTATAGTGCCTTCGGTGTGTAGTGTTGCTGATCAGATGATGGAGTGTCATATGGTGGATTGTCCTCGTGTGAAGTTCCTTATTTGATAGTTTCAGAATAAAATAGACGTGCACGCATATAAGACACAGCAACCCAGCTAACACGCATACAGTGGGTCTTAGTAAGACGACAGGCTTCATCTTCAGAGATTCAGGCGTTAACAACGTCAGGTTCAAGAGAAGAAAGTGTTTCTCCAACACCTTTCCAAAGAAGCCCAATTGAATCATGCTTTGTGAACATTCGTATTGCCAACCACATCGTGATACACATCCCATATTATCCTAAGGTAGCAAACATTGATTCACGATCGACCGAACGACACAGCAGTGTTTGTTGAGCGTATAATGCAGTTGACCTAAATATTCATTTCAGTACTCCGTGCAACATATGTTGCATTGTTGAGTAGATTGTCGATTCGGTTCACGTATTTTCGTATCCAGCAAATTAGGATGAGCCCATGATAGTCATTGAATTTTTGTTGAACGCTTTGAACCGTGCAGGTTTACATAAGATATTAACTTGTACGATTCAAAACGTTAATACTCCAGTAAACCACAACAATGTAAATTTCATTTCTTATGAATTCGTATTTTGTTTGTTTGTTGTTTAACGACACACTCAGCAATATTCCAGCTATTAACGGCGGTCTGTAAATAATCGCGTCTGGACTAGACAAGCCAGTGATTGACATTATGATCATCGATCCACACAGTTGGGATACAATGACATGCATCAACAAGAATTCGTATTTTGAAGTTTAGGGGGATGCCACTTTTACTGTGACGCACATTGTAAACGATTTACGTTCCTCGTTGCACTGGAATGCAGTGACCCATAATCTTCACACTTACGCAAAAACAAAGTAGTTCCAATTCCATAAATAAAGAAACATGTAACATCAGAATTGACATTCTTTTATTCACACGACCTTCACCTCAAAGAAGCTACTGAATATGTACAACATGTGTTGTGTCATGTAAGGGGTTAGAAACACCCTGACAATCTGTGTGTTGTTATTTGTTTTCATTTGTAACCAAGAAACATGACGTTGTGCGTGATTTTGCCGTCAAACAGAATTCTGCTGAATTTATCAAATTTTGTATCTGTTCTGATTTCTTAATTCTTGCTACGATACTCTATCCATGTAGTTCCAAAATATATGACCGCCTCCGTGGTCAAGTGGTAGAGCGTCCGCCCGGAGAGCGGAAGCTCCGGGGTTCGATCCCCGGCCGCGTCATACCAAAAGACGTTAAAAGATGGTACTTGTTTTTACCCTGTCGTCATTAAGGGACTAAAACAAGGACTGGTCGGCTCGGAGTCAGTATACTGTGTCTGGGTGGGGTATTCATGTTAAAATGCGGCATGGTATCTCAGTGGGCTAGCACTATAAATCGGCATCAGTCCGGACTAGTACAAGCAGCCACACACACACACGTGCATGCACGTCGCTATATAAGTGCAATAATCTTGGACGCGACGTTAAACCCAATTTCACCTCACCTCCAAAAAATATAAAGCCATTGTATATCTCAAAATAGAGAACATGCTACACAGTGTAATATCTGAATTTTGCTTTTTTTGCATTTCATACAAGTGCAGTTTTCCGAGCACAGCGTTCGTTTTTTCACCTACTCTATTTCGCTTGAGTTTATCTGCACAGTTTGTATTGGTGACAAAGACCGTGTATACTTTGATTCTAAAATGTATGAGGAATTCAGGGATGTATGTATCGCAGCTGGGTTAGAAATATGTAGATGTAATATGCGTCTCATTATCGGCGACGTTTCACATTGATCATTGGTGATTTGAAAAACAACAACACAAAAAACATATACCCGATATCACCGATATGCGATTTCTGAAATTCAATACTCTGAGTTAATATCCAATATTTTTATTTCAAAACATATACGAAATAACGCCATGAATGGTGATATAGTAATGTGTCAAAAATGGTGAGATTTCCGATGTTCCCAATGTTTTAGAGGTCATTTTCAGTAATTTACCTTTGGCTAAAATGAGATTGGATGATATCACAGAACAGGGAATTTCCCACGGAATTGAAAACCTTGAGGAGTAGTGCGTCATGTATTTTTAATTGTATCCGACTTCAAAGTGAGGATAGAATAGGGGGACGGGGGGGGGGGGGGGGGGGGGGGGGGGGGGGGGGGGGGGGGGAAGGCGGGGGAAAGGCGGGGGGGGGGGGGGGGGGGGGACATATATGTCACTGTGGCATCCAGGGAATAATGCGAATATGCAAGTAAGTGTTTAATGAAACCTTGAGTGAAAAAGAAACGTTAATTTATTGTCCGACATCGCCGATCCTCACGATCGTGGTAAGCAGGGGAGAGTACAAAGAATTATTCCACTCAGGGATTCCCCTTGAAAATTAGTTCCGGTCAAAATTCGTGTGAACGTCAAAAGGTGAAGTACATTGTAAACGTTACTTGCATGTTAGTATATGATATATAGTATATTCCGTGCAAGAATATGGTATATTGTATATTGCATGTAAGTATATGGTATATTGTATCTTGCATGTAAGTATATGGTGTGTTGTATATTGCGAGAAAGAATATGGCATGTTGTGTATTGCATGTAAGTATATGATAAATTTCATGTAAGAATACATGAATATTGTATTTTGCGTGTAAGTATATGGTATATTGTATATTGCGTGTACAAGTATATGGTATACTGGATACTGCATGTACGTATATAGTATATTGTATATTACATGGAAGTATATAGTACATTGTAAATTACATCTAGATAAATGGTATATTGCATGAGGACATTGTCGCTGTACAATTTCGTCACATTTGCCCAAAATTAAGATAATGCGTACCAGCTTTGTTAGTCTATTTTAAACTCATGCAGACACTAACACCTGTGAAATACTCTCTGTTGTGTCCTGAACATTTGTGAAATCATACGTTTTGTATTCTCAGCACAAGTATATGTCGTACAAAGCAGCATCCCTCATAGCAATGTCCATCATATTATAGCCAGTTATCGCATCCGTTATTCACGCTGCTTTAAACATATAAACACAGTTTTGTCATAGTAAATTCTTTTAGAACAAGAGAAGTATCGACGATGATCATTGCTAAATTATAAAAACAAGAAATGGGAAATTCATTTTTGATTATCCAATTTATTATATCTCAGTTATGTTATGATAAATACATTGTACCTATTCTCTACCATTGTTAAGTCTTTTCTCTGCCATTGTTAAGTTTATAACAAGTACAACAAGGTACACATCACAAGCGAAACAAAACCGTATACTTTCTTGGAGGAGACATCCAAGCTACAATACAGGTCTGATGTTGCCAGCCATGCCTTTTTAGGGACTACTCTTGTGTCTGTTGTGTATGGAAATAATTCGATACTCTTTAAAAAGTATCTGTCAAAAGCAGAGTCGATAGTACGTATCGGACTAGTCCATGGACATATGTTTATAATCACTATCAAACAATGATGTTACCAGGTGTTACATACAAATGTTTTTACTCTGTCATGAAGCGTGTTAAAGGCCTTTGAACCATGTTTTTATTTAGAGATGACAGTTCGCCTGTCAAGGCGAAACCATGCAGTCACAACACCACATCAAGATATCCTATTAGAGTTATAATGCCCTTGGCTAAAGTCGTTTGTGGAACTGGCCCTGCTTCTTACGAACATACCACCTACACTGCCCCGTCAACTTACATTTGGAACATTTCCACATGGGTGAGCGCGTCCTGCCAATGATCAAACCTACATTTTAAATCTGGTTACTAATCTGATCACTTACATAAGCAAGATTTCCAGGAAATCTTAAATGGAATTCAAGATTGCTAAAGCATCGCAGCCACAGCCTACACGTAACCCAAACCCATCGAATACTGTGAATAAAGCTACTCAATTACGTGTTATGAGGATAGTTTGTTCACGGGTACCAGGTCATTGTGACCAGGCCCAGGTCAACATGTGATAGGCATAAACTAGGGACGGTGGTTAATATGCAGAGATACGTATAGGTATGCGCCCCACATGTTACAATATAATTGCCAAACCACCTCCGAGAAGCACATCGATCATATGCCAACATAAGCTGTTGCATATACGACTGGTGACTCGCGGGTGAACATAAATGTGTAATGCTGATGTTTACAAATGTTGGAATCCGTTTGGAATATTCACAAAATCAATACACAATCATGCAACTATTATTGAATAAATCCTATTAAATAATAGGAACTTGATCCTTTCTGCAAATGAAAAGGATAAAGGAAACACATAAGCTGTCAGACATTACAACCTAGGAAGCGCTGCCTAGTCAAACCCACCAAGAACATTTCGGAGAATGGGAATACTACCCAACACTGCAGCCTTTTGCATTACCCAGATCGTCTCAAGGGTTGTATTCCTGGTAGCAAACCCGGGTGCTCTCCCAATGTCAGTCAACAGATTGGGAGGTACCAAACCTAAGGCACCGAGAACAATAGGGAGTCGGACAACTTGGTACTTGATGCAAGCGGGACATTTCGAAAGCGATCGCGAGGTCAGCATATTTGCCATGTTTTTCCTGAATCTTGTCAATCACATTAGTGTCAAAGGGGACAGAAAATTCAATAATGAAAATGATTTTATTGGATTTATGAAAAAGGACACGATCAGGTTTGTTGGCCTGGATACGTCTGATGCTGTATACGGGCCTATTCCCCCCAAAATTGTATTCAACATTTTCCATGACGCCCTCTACATATTCTGGGTCGTACCATGGATGGACCTCTGCGTCAAACCCACAAGAACGGCGAAGACGGTAAGAATGTCACTTAAGATACTGTGTTTGTGCCAAAGTTGAGAATCCACTGAAAATGTGTTGGACAGTCTCATTAATGTCGTTGCAAAATCTACATTTCATATTTACATTTTGATCCAAAATCACACTTTGACGGTTTCGAGTGGGAAGTGGCTGGTCCTGAGCAGCAAACAGAAAGCCTTCTGTTTCACTTTACATAGCGGGTTCCCATTATAGCTCAATGTATGGTGTAACTAACAAAAGAAGTGTTTTGTCTGTTGTTCAATTTAGAAAGCTTAAAGCAATGGAAGTAAATCTTGCTTGTTTTAACCATCTGGGGTCTTGAATGTGTTATCATAATAAGTTGTCATACCTCTATCACATCGTGTACAAAAGTCAAGGTGAGCTCAACATGAGGGTCAAAGAAGACAATAAAGCGCTTAGCCTATAACATTTAACATTACATCACTGTTCAATTTCCTTACAGCTATGCATGTGTCCTTGAGATGCACTCAAGAGATTAATGAAAAGAAATACACTTTGAAAGGCAATTTTGAAAATCTTTTGATATGAAAAGAAACTATGCACACACATTGAATGCGCCGTGAAAACGACATTGGCAATTATGCTACAACTACGTATTAACATTTGATTTTAGTTTTTAATTTCTTCATTAAGCATGGACAGGTATAATCCTGGTCAGGTTGTGCTAATGGCATGACGTCAACTAGAAGGAGGAGATGGACATTGCTGCCAGGAAAATGAGCAATATATTTGGAAGTCATTATTATCAGGATGTCAATTCTTTACATTAACAGTCGACTCACCACACGTGAAGATGACTAAGGAATGAAAACTTGAAGTCTACATGCATCCCCTCCCACTTAGCAGTGATAAATCAAACAGAGAGATAATATTAACACCAAACAAAAATCTATCGTCCAGATATGTTGATAGCTGTATGAGTTCACACGGTCGTTGTTAATACAGGACAATGTCAGTGTCAAACCAAACATCCTCTTTCAATTATTATTAGTTTATGAAATCAACATGTATAAGTAGCACTTTGTTCTCTTCTTAGGATTTATTAGTTATTAAGATAAAAATGATTTTTCTTTTCATCTGTAGTCTTCAAAAATGAATTTGATGACAGTTTGACCTGTAAGATCCTTGATGGATAGAGCATGGAAAATGTGGACAAGTTTTTTGCCATTCGACTGGACCTTGTTTTCTGATACAAATCATTCAAATACTGTTCAATTGTTTTACGGATATCAATCTAGCGATGACTTACCATACAGAGACATTATGTTATTTTCACACAAGGTTTGCAATAGCAATACACCTACACCTCCAATAATGTGAAAAATAAATAGTAGCGACAAACCCTTTATAGATCCGTGAGAAATCTCTGCCAAAAACAGAGCCGAATGTCCGATTCCCATTATATATGAGCATGTGTTTATGAATCACTATAAAATAGTGCTGATACCTTTGTTCACAAAAAGTTGAGTGTATCCTCCTGTTTCATCGATCGCACCGTCGCAAACACATGCAAAGGCAAGTCTATTGTTCATCTACAAAAATCACGGGAACATGTGGTACAAGTCAAAATAGTTAATTGCATCGGACATCATTAATGTCACCGATGTGCCAAATATGGAAATGTTCTTCACATGTCTATCATAGAACCTTTTGAAAGCTGTACTGAGACCCTGAATTGTAAATAGTTTGGATTGTTTAATACTTTGGTCTTACTTTGCGTACATATATAGCTCTGTTATAGCGTTGTGTACTTAAGAATTGACCTTCACTTTGTGTGAGTTCATTGGAGTATGAACCTTCACGGAGTGAGGGCCAAACTGTATGAACGTCGTTCAATGGAAAAGCCGTATATCGTGTAAACTTCAAATTAAAAAATCATATATATTTATCTTATTCTTAAACATATCCTTATCCTAAACACACATTTGTCCCAGCAACATGACACCCTTTAACGTTTTACGGGTTACGCCCCGGGGAAGAATAGGTCTTCCGCAACCCATTCTTGCCATAAAACCCATGCTTCTCGTACGAGGCGACTGTCTGATCGCTGACTAGGTTGGTGCATGTCATTTTATCCCAGTTGCGTGGATCGATGCTCATGATGCGACACTGTTAAACACCGTTAAAAACCCATATTGGCTGCACCACACTGCCCCGGCCCCACAGGAATACATATAGCACACACGTATACCTTCACTTCCGCTATCGACAAGCATCCGGGGTAGTATAGGTCTTCAGCAACCCATTCTTGCGGTAAAAGGCAAAATTTGCTTTGCGACTAACGGGATCAGGTGGTCAGGCTCGCTGACATAGTTGATGCATGTCATTGTATCCCAATTGCGTGGATCAATGCTCATGAAATCAATTACTATATTGTCTACATTGTCGATTATTTACAAACCGCCGTCATATAGCTGGAATATTGCTGAGTGAGGCGTGTTACAGCTTAGACATGTGATGCCTTCATATGGTTAGCTGGAACAACATGCACCCAATACAAGTTGAGATGATCTTTCAATAAGCTCTGTTGGCTAACAACGACAGTGTACGAGAGTAATAGAGCACACCCAAGTGACGTTTACACAATTTAATGATATACCTTTAACATCATCTGTGCAAATGGACATCTGGAGTGAGTGAGTATGGTTTTACGCCGCCTTAAGCAATACTTCAAGAATATCACGGCGGGGAATTCCGGAAACGGGCTTCACATGTTGTACCTACCCATGATGTGAATCGAACCTGGACCGCGTGACGAGCGACCGCATTAACTGCTTGGCTACCCCGTTTTGAATTCTGGACATTCAGGTATATATATATATATATATATATATATATATATATATATATATATATATATATATAAAAATATAAATACATACATATATACATACACATATATATATATATATATATATACCTATATATATATATACACACACATATATATATACCTATATATATACACATCAGGTACATATATACGATTAAGTCAATGGACCTGAATATACATATATATATTCATAATAAGACATGATTTGTAACTCAAGACAATTGTCCACGGTTACGCAATAACAGTTTCCAGTAATAGTCCTTGTATCTGTCTCTGTCTTCAAATACAAACAGTTCACAACCCGGAAGTCCTAGACATTTGACCCTATCTGGGAAATTCCGGTCATAGCTGTAGTACGTTTCCTGAGGTCGCAGGCCGATGTAGGTGACGTTGTCCAGCCGTGACGGGAGTTGCCCGGACAGGTAGACATCATCCACCCACAACATCGGAGAGATGAAGAGTGACTTGTACAGAAGAGGGATCAGATCTCCGGTCAGGACGACCACAAAGCCACTGCAGTACCTCCAGGGGTAAACCTTGTACCCCTTCAAAATGTCCCAGCTTACAGCATCCCTTCTCGTCCTTCTTATCGACATGTAATTCTTGGACCACACATTGCAAATTATGTGACGTCTTTTGTTCTGGTATTTTGGCAAATATCTTTCCAGGAATCTGAATGTGTCCATTACAGTATCATCATCAATCTTGATAACAAATTTAACATTAAGACAGAAGCTAACCATCCACTGTAAACCAAGAGAAAATTTATAGGTCAGGTTGTGATAGGTATCCATAAAATCTCCTTGAATTATATCTCCATGAACAGCGTTTTCCTTCTCAATTATTTCATTTGATTGGTTATAAGTATTTAAACCTAACAAAAACACCGACTTAACTGTGTGCTGTGGGAAATAGGTCTGATTTAAAAATGTCTGTCGCATTACTTGTCTCTGTTCGGTTTTATACCAGGCAGAATGTACCACGAACAACACCGTCACCTCCTTATTGGAATGACACACATCCGGGTTATTTAGGATATACTTCATATGTCCAAATGAGGGGTACACCGACCTGTTATAGTGCCTTCGGTGTGTAGCGTTGCTGATCAGATGATGGAGTGTCACGTGATGTATTCTCCTCGGGTGTAGCTCCTCATATGGTATTTTCAGGACGAAATAGAGAAGATGTAGGCACCCTAGACACATCAACACTGCAAACACACGTATTGTGGCCCTTTGTGAAATTATAGTTGTCATC